AGAAGAAAAACAAACATAAAAAATGAAGAAGTTAGCACGGGGGCACACGAAACAGGCCAGTAAGGCTATATAAGCAACCTGAGAACAACTGCAGTAGATTATAAACACCCTGACAGTCTTTAGAACAGGCAGCTCTGAACACAGTGGAAAATAAAAAAATCTTGGAAAAAATGTGAAGGGGGTAGAGAGGTTATCCTGCTCTGCCAGCATCAAAGAGGAGGCAGGAGGCTGAAGTTGCTCCGGAACAACTATGGTGGGCAACAAGATACCCTGAATAAGAGAAAAACCACCCTAAAAACAAACAAACAAGTATTGTGTGGGAAGACAATAAAAAAAAATTCCAATTTTTCTATTTAAGAGAACAGAATTCTATTTAGAATCCATGTTCTTCAAACCAAGGCCTTTCTTTTCTATAAAGCTGATAGGTCTTACCAGCTTGCCGTTAATTTGCTGAAACAGAGACAAAATCACAATTGAAGAAACAGCTCTCTGGGTAACGAGGAAAACAAATTCTGGGGGTCTTCTGTAGGGGCAGAAGAAAATATGGATCCTTTGCCATTCAAAGACATATCAAGGCAACGTCAGGTGTAACCCACAAGTGGTACAAGGAAAGTAGACAGATGACATAAAATGAAAAGAAAATAAGGCAAATTTTGTTCAGAGACCAGAAAGATTTCTTTTTGTTTTTTTAATTATGATGAAAGTACTACACCTTTCCTCCCTTTCTTACTGGAAGGAAAAAAGGAAATCCCTGTCATCAGGCTTAAAACTGCAGAAGTTAGCATTTCATGGCTGAGACTGACAGCTTCTCTTTCCTCTTGCTTTCGGGTAAGCACAGTCATTGTGTAACACGATGGCTCCTCTCGAGCAGAGCTGGGAAAGCCATCAGATATACAGGACTGGATTACTGTGTGTTTTATTACTAAAAACCTTGCAGGTTCTCATTGTAAAAACATTAATGGAAAGCCAGTACCAGACATCCAAATCATACAAACACGGCGGCATGGTGAGCATAAAAAACATACTTAATTCTCCTGTGACAACACTTGACAAGAGTAATGAAAATCACACAAAGTATCCACTGCTGCAATATATATACATCTTTTACAGAAAAATACTTACATATATCTGGATCTTTGCTTTTCTTTGTTTTGTTACTAAGACTTATCTCAAATCTATTAATATCAGATGAAAGATCACTAGAAGAAAAGACAGAGAGCCTCAATTAATACCATACTTGGCTGCCATTTAAGCTTATTCTAAATTAATTTAAATCCTGAGTTCTCATTATCAGCCAAAGACTGATATTAACAAAGATATTTAAGTGCCTACAGAAAATTCCGTCCATGCAGAATTTGGCTGAAAGGTTGCTGCTGCATAACCACACATATAGTATATTTAAAAAGCGTATGCAAAACAATACACAGGGTTAAGAATCTTAAACACAATGCAACTTACAAGTGAAATCCAGTCATTCAAGAAGATTAAGACTTACTCAAACACAAATTCTTCAGACCACACAGGGTTCTGCCCTTCCCTGATGTGTGTTTTTGCTACCTGGACACTGTTCAGGTAGATGTTACAATATGGATTAGTAAAATGCTTTACTGGGAGCGTGTGAGCTTCTTCTACGTGCAAAATTAGACTGCTGACCTAAAAAAAAAATAAATCATAATTTAGCTTTTGTTGCTAAAATAGAAATATAACACACAAATTAATTGGCTTTTATTCTCCATGTGGAGTCTTAATGTTAACATATGAATACCGAATACAAACTGAAATTTCTTAATAAGAAAAACAAGGAACAGACGTAATGGAACAACATTTCAAGAGGCATCAGTGAAAAAATCAGAGTACCTCGAATAATTACTGAAAACAGATCTCCAGTCCCATGTTTTTAAGTCTTATCTTTTTTTTCCCCTCTTCTTTTAAAATTACCTTTGAGACATCAGGATTTGCAAATACTAACTTTTCCACGCGCAGCTTTACTGGAAGCAAAGACTGGCAACGTGCATAAGAGCCACAGACAATTCCACACACAATGGCTTTTTTGATGCTTCCCTAGTACATAAAATTTCCTTGTGCAACACATGATATTCTATTCCTTCATATAGATGTGCATTTTCTTCACATTTTGAAGAAAAGATTTATTTCAGATAGTCACTCTTTTTGCTCTGCCTTTGCAGCCTGACACTTTATCTATGCACCTAATTTAGTTCATTTAGTGTTAGTCTAGTTGCACCTAATTTAGTTTTATTCAGAAGTATCTAAACAACTTTAAAGTCAACAACAGAAGAGTTGTGAGTCCTGAAAAACATCCTGTTTTATTCCTATCTCTTATGGTCTGTTAAAAACTATGTTCAATATTCCTAACATTCAAAAATATCAGGGAATCTTGAAGTATTTTCCTGTTATTCTCCAAAGACTTAGCCATTTATGACTGCCCACTAGCTCTAAGGAAATTCTGGCAAACACAGCACTTTCAAAAAGCCAAGAGAAATTAAGCCACCAGTATGGTTCAGAATGTATTTATTACTGAAGGTGAGTAACATCAGTTAAACGAGCATTTTGTTCACGTCACACGAGTGTCAAATTTTTCGTTTCCCAGACATAGCAAATTCTAGAAGTTAAAACAATACTAACCCTGACTTCTTTACTCCTTTACTCAAATTTGTAATTATACCAAGCAAAGCACATGCAGTCTGCCTAAAGCCATCATGGGTTCCGTGTATATAGGTATTATAACAAAGTGTACGTCATTCTGGTTGGTTTCACGAGCATACTGCGTAACTCCAAAAGGGAAAGTAAGTACATGCAGGATTTACTACTGTTGAAAATAAAGTTCTGAGATTTATCAGTCTCGTTTTGGAGGAGACAAAACACTCCTCCACATGCACCAGCAACCCCACCATATCAGCTTCACCTGACGTAGGCGTTTATTTGATGTTCCTGGACTGGTTTTTCTTAAACTGCAAAACATCTGCAGAGCTTTCATCCAGTCCTAAGAGAGAAGGACGCAAAATAGTGTAACAAAACAAGGTCAGATAACAGCTTCTTGCAGAGGAACATACATAGCTAAGATGAATATCTGAAGTTTTCCCTTTATCTCGGCAAAAACAAAGTTTTCTGTAATTCCAAAGTCTGCAAGTTTGAATATTAAAGCAAAATCCTAATCTTTACTCAGTAAGCCTAATAAAAGATTTGCAAATCTGAACCATTTTCTCTTTTAGAAGCATCAAGCATTACTAAATGGATACACAGTGTGACCTTTATCAATTTTCCAGCCTAGTAACATTACATGAAATTACAAATGGTATGTAAAATGAAGAAAAACTTGTTTGCTTCTGAGAAAATTACAGCTAACAAGCCAAACTGTTCAGATTTTTCTCTCCAGTACTTCTGCATGGCAGTCATAATGCTGCGTATACTTCAAACAAAAACTAAACCAGCATTAACAGAGGAACACAGAAGCACGTATCCCACAGTCCCCACGTCGCTCACGGATGCATAAAGCAGAGTGGATGGATGGATTCTGCTTTGATCAAGGAAATAAACAGGTTGTCTTACACCCAACTGATGGTAGAAAAAATACACACTTTGTGTGTATTTTTTTTAAACCAAGAAGCTGCTAAGAGGCACTGCCAATATGCCAGGCCACCTCTGAAAAAGACACTGCAGCGTGAGGAAATTGCTAACAGAGGAACTTTTCAAGGGGCCTTTGGATGGTGGAAGACACATTATAGCCTCATTCTCTAGTTTTGCCCCCCCAGCCACTGAATTTTTGTATAGCTTTTGCAAAGCACAAAACTTATGTTTTGACCAACAGCCTTCTTAAGTCCGTACCTCAAAGATCCACCATCTGTTCTCAAAGCACAATTTCACAATGTCATTAAAAACCCCACACCCTCTTTCAGTCTTGCCCTCCACATGTTAAAATACAGGAACACATACTGCTGCACCCCTTTGTCAGCAGAGTTTCAGCTTTCAGAACCCTCTGCAGAAGGAAAAGCTTTCAGCTATTTGTTTCCTTAGTCTCAGGAGTAGCAATTGAAGACACCAGTGACTCCTAAACACTCCAGAAGCAACATTTCCTGGATGCATCGTACGCCTCTATACTCAGTCATAGCAGGAAAACTCCTCCGTTAAGTGCCAAAGCTGCCAGCAGTGCAATTAAACAATGTGCCCCAGTGAGCACAGTGGCACTAGCACATAAGGCTATGTTTTACATTCGCTTTTGTTTCATACAAACCACAGTGACAACATGCAGCCCGCAGGATAGTGCATTTTCCACTTATAAGAGCCCCTTAATATACAAATAAAACCATTCTGCTATGAAATGTTATAGAGTAAAGAAAGCTGAACTTCCTCAAAAGAGAAATATCTATAAACTTTCCTGGGACAAAGCCATATTATAAAATCCCCGTGTGTGCTGTAGAAATGCAGTGAACAGCCTGTTAACCAGATCAAAACCAGAAGCAGCTTATACCAATCGTTCAGGGAACAAGACGGGATATTCTGCCTTCTACACGTTCTTAATTCCTTTAATTTCTAAGAATACTAAAGACATTGCAGATATTACTGTACACTCATTGTTGGCACGAGTTTAGAAATTACTCATTTCTTGAGGAGGGCCACAACGATGATGCTCAGAGGGCTGGAGCGCCTCTGCTCTGGGGACAGGCTGAGAGAGTTGGGCTTGTTCAGCCTGGAGAAGAGAAGGCTCCGGGGAGACCTTATTGCACCTTCCAGTACCTGAAGGGGCTACAAGGAAGCTGGGGGGGACTTTTTACAAGGGCCTGTAGTGACAGGACAAGGGGTAACGGGTTTAAATTGAAAGTGGGGAGATTTAGATTAGGTATCAGGAAGAAATTCTTCACGGAGAGGGTGGTGAGGCACTGGCACAGGTTGCCCAGAGAAGCTGTGGATGCCTCATCCCTGTAAGTGTTCAAGGTCAGGCTGGACGAGGCTTTGAGCGACCTGGTCTAGTGGAAGGTGTCCCTGCCCATGGCAGGGGGGGTGGGACCAGCAGGGCTTTCAAACCATTGCGTGATTCTATGAAACTAATGTATGTATATTCTCAATTTCTATACAGCATGCTGCTTCTCAAAGACATTACATTAAGAGTCATGTGACAAATGCCACTACATTGCTCTGATTTCTTTTCAGCAGATTTCATAAATTTGTATTAATTTAACAGGAAAATTTGTGCTTTCCTTTACATATAGCACAAGAAGAATACTAAATTCATACAGTCTTCATGCTCTAGTGAATAGAGCAGTCCGTTACGAGTGCTCTAAAGAGTTTTAATTCCACACAAATAAAATCAAATGCAAAGTTTAACTTCTGACGCAGCAGTTATACTGTCAGAGCTGTAAACTTAATAAATATAGACATTATCTAAACTTAAATATGTTCACGAGCAGGAGAATTTCAGCGAATTAGGTTCCTATCCTTCAATTCTTCATCAGCAAGCATACTCGCTAGAGAGCTAGTAACGAACGGATACCAACTCAGAAAACCTTACTTCTGTGCATGATGAAGGCCCAAGACTATGGACAACCACCAATTCATGGCCAGAACAAATAACTGAACGGCAGATGTTCAATATTCTCCTGTTATTGGGCACACATATGTGCATTAGTGTCTAAGTCTGTATCATGAATATGCCTTTGAAGGAAAATTCCTCCTTACCATGTTCTGGTTTATAGCATGGAAAAGTCTTGGAGAGTAAATCTGAATTGAACCATGTCAAAAAATATTGTGGTACATAGTTGCTGACTGGGATTAAACCACGACAGTTCTCCAGAAACAGTGGAAAATAATGGTAGTTTAGTCCATGGGACCCGACTGGGACTTGTCCAAAGTAAAACTCTCAAGCGCAGTTAATGCAGCTCAATTCCCAGTGCTAGCTACAGACCCACTACTACTCCATTGTAACACCTGCTACTATAGACATAGTCACTATTTGTGATACACCTGCTTACTATTTAAACTCCAAGTGGCAGAAAGTTACTTTTTAAATTATATTTACCATGAAAAGGTCTTACCTGTGCTTGTTCTGGAGTTTCGCCTGCAAAGTAAAAGATGTAATGCTCTTCACTAAAGTGCTGAACTACTATCTGAAAACAGTTTGGCCTTAAAAAGAAACAGAACAAAAAAAAAAGTACGTTTTATTAATCTTCGTAATACTAACACCTTCACTTGTTGATCTGTGCCGAAACAAAGTTTAGTCTGAACTCATACGTTTCCTCTGTTGTCTGTAAGGAGCACTGAACCTGCATCAATTTTCATTCGCATGCATGTAGCATCATGACACATGGAAAGCGGAAGAACTCCAACTAGAAAATTCCTCAGGTGCTTCAAAACTGCATGTTGTTTTGAATGTAATTATGTCAATTTAAGAAAACCTGCACTTCAGTACAGCTAGTTTCTTTTGGACTGAATACTGAGAAACTTTCAGAATGATCTGAAGAGTCATACATGCTGACTTATAATCAAGGCAAAAAACAGCCATCTGCTAACGGAAAAGACTTGTCAGTGAGGACTATTCCTAGAGACTTTAAAAGCAGGAGAGATTCAGCATCAGTTTCCAACCAACTACACATGCATTAAGTATTTATTCTTTCAGGAGTTCAGGAAAGAATATTGACATAAGGAATCCCCTATTTGAATGTGTCCCACAGCTCTCATGACCAGTAAAATGTGTATTGGATCACATACTAATCACTGAATCTATGCGACACAAACCTCTACAGCCATGAATGCAACTACTGTGTTTTTGCCATTTTATGCACCTCCACCCATTTGCCAAAAAGTCAGTCAAAAATAATTTGCATTGTTAAATTACAAGCTATTTTAAAAGTAAGCTCACTCCTGACCTTACACAGTGTCCTCAAGGACGTTTAGTCCTCTGGAGACCAGCATTCCCAGATCCTACTTCATTTGCAAAGGAGTCTAAGGCTGCAGTTCCCCTATCCATGTCACTGCCTCGATAAATGCTGACACGGCACTCTTGCAGCCATGCTGCTGAAAGGTAGGGGGCAGGAAGTAGTCAGGTCTGGGGCCAATTAATTCACTGGCACCAAAGAACCATGGCAAAGCTACAGACTTCACCATACTTCGGAGAAAAGGGCAAAGGCAGTTGAGTTACCAGCTAGTGAACATGGCAGGAGGGACTTTTTATCAGCTACCGTTCCTCACTAGCAGCTTCCTAAGCTGCTGCAACCGTGCATCGCCTCCCACCCACATTCAGTACCACTTACAGAATACTACGCTTCCACCCACAGCACAGCTTTTAAGGAATGCTGTGCTAAGAGACAGTCGCTGTTCATCAAGATGTTCCTTGTTTACAATATAACACCAAAGCTTCCTGCATAATTCCCAACTCATGTAACGAACATTTGAGTAAGTTTTGTTCTGCTACTCTGTATCTATGCTCCTCATTTTAATAGATTTTTCAAAAATATTAAGAAGATTAAGAAAGACAAACCACATCAAACAGCAGGTCTTTGAAGCTTAAGAAATGCCACTAATCTTAAGCACTTGTCATGAGGTTTTTCACTACAATAAAGAAGTTGACTATATATCACTTTTCGTATTTATTAAGATCCATGGGATAACCAGAATTTCTATCCAACACTTGCAAAAGTAAGTGTATCTATTTCTTCCCTGTGACACTGTAATACAGGATGGAGGACTTTTTTTTGTAACTACTAATGAACAAATATGTAAACTCTTCCTTGTTAATTACCAATGATATCTGAAAGACTCTGCCTAACCAAGTTAGTTTTCAAATACCTATCAAAAGAATGCAGATCTATTGGAATTGACACAATTCTTGATCTTGTCAATTCTTAGTTCAAAAGGATTAAAAACTGCAGTTCAAAATCTCTAATGTCTGTAAAATGAAACATGGAGAAAAATAATGTTCTCAGTATTAAAAAATGACAATATAAAATACCTCCAATCACCACCACATCTTATTTCACGATAAAACTTTAACACTAAATTCTAAAATTTCCAACTACAAGCTGTTTATTTACAGTTGCTAGCAACATGGCTAAACAAGGTACTCTTCACCAGCTACATCTGTCTACATGTGCTCCTGCAATCCACCCTGACTGCAGAAAGAGCCACGCTGCTTGTTTACTAGCGGTGTATTGCCCACAGTTTGTACGCTCCTCAAACCACCTGTCAACTCTCCTGCTGCACGTAAGAGAATTAAAAGACATTGTCCTACCTGCCAAACAAACTGTCATGCACTCCGTAGACGGAACACACGCTAAGGTCTATTAGTCCTTTGGGTTTTGTGGCTCGTTTTTCACTTTCAAAATAAATAAGCTGGGCATCATTTCCCTCTAATATAAAGTACAAGTTTTTCCATCTCTTTCCTTTACCTGTAGGAGAGGCAAGCAAAAAGTTACGATACTGCTGCAAAGACAGTGTAAGTTCTGTAAATGAAGAAAACAAAAGAGAAGAGTGAATCTGTTATCAAATTGCGAACAGATGAACAATGTACAGGTAAGCATAGTTATCAGCATGCGGTCTTAATTTTACGCCATGTGTGGCTGAAACGAGATGCAGGTAGAGCTGCAGATGGTTCTCTAAACACTATCAATAATTTCAACAGGATTTAACCAAATGCATGTGAGCTGCCTGGACAGTGAGTTTCTGTCAGTGTTAAGACTCTATCTACACTCTTTGCAAGTAATGATGCCGTGGATCGCATTTGTTACAATTTTAATTAAGAAACAGACTCTTGACATGACCCCTGAACTCTGACCGATATTCAACAGACTGCATTACAGTATCTTAAACCAGTATGGCTTAAGAACAGGAATGGTAATGTTATATGCAGACTTCCATCACAGCCATGCCTCAGACTCTACCATATCTCAGAATTTAGCTGGTTCCAATTGTTTCAGAGAAAACGTTCTGTGAATTACAATGGATTAGGAACTTTCTGCAACTAATTAATGCCTAAGTCATAGTACCATTCAGAAAAACACTTTCAGCCTTCCTTTTGTTCTTTGATTGTCATGAATCTGCCGTGGGCATCCATAAACGAGTACTAGCACCGTTCTGAAAAGACACATCTAGCATCCACCTATTACACCGTCTCAGAGACGGAAGAGTGATGTTACTGAATTTGTTCCATACACAGCTGCGTGCATACCTCTACACCTACTCAGTACTCCAGGTTGCACATTTAAACTATCTCATTATCTGCTTTTGCTATATGTTTTCAATTAACTCTTACTTGATTCCTCACTCTATGACACCCCTCCACACCTTCACTCATAATCAGCCTTCTCAACAGAAGAGATGTTTTCCTTGTTCTTTTCAGAGGGCCTGTATTTTTTGGGGGGCTTGTCATTTTTTAATGTCCCCCTTACATTTGGCTTTATTTAAAAATCATACCTTCTTTCTCACTTTTGATCACTATCCAGATTACTATCTGTAACTTAACTCTTCTAGTCATTGTCTCTGCCATCTGCAGAAATTTTATTATTGATACTTTTCCTGCTTCTACTGAGGTTATTTTTTTAAAACGTAGAAATATAACACTTGATAAGGGACTAGTTTCCTCAGAACTTCAAAGCCTTGCTCAGTGGCAACTCTTCAGGGTTATACTGAGTTGAATAAGTCAGCTTTAAATGTATTTATTGAATGTTATGTTGACTGTGTCAGTGTTGGAACCCTAAAAAAGTCACTACATATCTCGTAAAGAAGAATTTAAATTTATGATTTAAAACATACCACCTAACTTAGAATAAAACTAAACCAGCTGTGCTCTCCAGTGCCTGTAATGATGTATACTTTTCCAGCTCTCTCTAACTTCCTCATCTAGAATTTGAGTTCCATATTAGCTACAAACACTTTAAAAAAAAAATCATTTAATGAGTTTGGATGTTACCTTTGACATGGATGCCTTGTTTCTGTGCTGTGCTCTGCTTGTTTTTCAGAACTGCCAATCAACGTTTTCACACTGCATGTAATTTTATATATCACATTGTTCCAATCATGCACTACTTAAGGAAAGAGATCTTTCTAGAACCTTTCGCCCACTTCAAGTTTGTCATTTCTAGTACCACAAAATTCACTAAGTATGCATGTCTAGCTTGGAAAAGAGAAGGCTTAGGGGTGACCTCATTGCTGTCCACATCCTCCTCAAAGGGGGCAGCAAAGGGGGAGGTGCTGATCCCTCTGGTGACCAGCAATAGGACACAAGTAAATGGAATAGAGCTGCATCAGTGGATGTTCAGGTTGGGCAGCAGGAAAAGGCCCTTCACTGAGGGTGGTCAGCCACAGTCTCCCCAGGGAAGTGTTCATGCTCTTAGTTGTATGGTTTAGTTTAGGTATTCCTGCGAGGAGCAGGGAGTTATACTCTATGATCCTTACGGGTCCTTTGAACCTTGAGATATTCTATGTATTCTGTGATCCATATATGCATTTGTTTAGGAAAAAAATTCATAGTAGTAAACATAACTCACTTTTCTTCAGAAGATAACCTTTTTTGACAATGTTTTTATAAAAAGCATCCTTTGTTTTCCGACGAACTGTGTTGTAGATTTCTTTTCCATCCACTGTATCATTAAGCACTTGTTCTTGGTGCTGGTTAAACACAGAAGAAAAACATACTTTGAGCTCAGAAATGACCATTTAAAAATTTGCATGCTATGAAGCTGAAACCAGGATCATGTTCCTGAATTCTACCAACTCACTACTATTATTCTTTCATGCATTTTAATAAAGTAATATAATTTTTCACATAATACCCTCGATAGAAGTGTAATACAACTATTCCCATATTCCCAGAATTATGACAGAAGTAGTTTTCAATACAGACCAATTTCTACCATGTAACATTGTGTCTTTTTCATATTAAATGAAAAATGTCATCTTTCACCATGATTTCTGTTATATTTATGCAAGCCGTTAAAGATATATCTAGCTTCTAACTGTGTCCTACCAAAGCTTTTGGGACTGAGTAATCACAGATAAACTCTGAAGCAACAAGAATGGTGCAGATCATAATTAAATTGGACTCACTTAAAAGTTGCACAGTCCCTCATTAATCTCATTAGAACTCACATGTTCTAATTGACTAAAACTCAAGACAAGAGAAGAAAGCAGAAACAGGAAACAGAAAAAGGATAAATTCACACAGACAACTGTAGGATCTGGAAACACAAATAACAAATGAGAATGGCCAAAAGCTAAGACAAGTTTGACCTTACCGAGTAAGCTGATCAGCAAAAGTTCTTTAGCCATAAGAAAACATGAAAACCAAGACTGTCAAGCAGTGAGAATAGCACCGAGATGCAAAGTGACGTATGAACTGGCTCATACTACACATTCTGCTTTTCTACCTGCTCATATATCAAAGAATCACAGAATGGTTTGGGTTGGAAGGGACCTTAAAGACCATCCAGTTCCAACCCCCCTGCCATGGGCAGGGACACCTTCCACTAGACCAGGTTGCTCAAAGCCTCATCCAGCCTGGCCTTGAACACTTCCAGGGATGGGGCATCCACAGCTTCTCTGGGCAACCTGTTCGAGAGGTAAACCCGTTCCCCCTTATCCTGTCACTACAGACGCTTGGAAAAAGTCCTCGTCCCCCTCTCACTTTCTTATCTACAAGAATTACAATTTTGAAAAACATCGCAAAAGCAAGATGGAAAATACTTTGGGAATACTAACAGGAATTACAGGACCTGCAATGAAAGCAACATCCAGATGTTTATGAACTGAAGACAATCTCCATAACATAACTATACAAGGCACAGTGCACAAAAGAACAGATCTAGTGACAAAAGTAAATTTCATATTAGACACAGGAAGTAAGACTGACCCTGAAAGTATGCAAGACTCTTGTTCCCACTACCCCGCCCA